ACAGCAGTGTGTTTCCAATTATTCAAATTGCGTGTAAAATAGTATATCACTCCGTAATACATTAAATGACTTGGCGTTTGGCCTTATGGATGAAGAATCCTAGCGGTGCATGACCCATAATTCTTTAAATCTGAAGTTGCTAAAGCATAAAAATAATTTAATTGCTGCGGAACTTTACGAGTCAAGTAGGATATATGTAGGGCGAAGCGGCCTAAACGCCAGCTGTCGCTTCTTTATGCCGAATAAATGGGTTTCAAAAAGACTCCGAAACGGTGTCAGCTTGTATGAGAAGACCGTGGTGAGACGTTAGCTCATTGCATTATTGGCGGCTGAGCCGTCAGTGCCACCTCATCACTTTGAGCAATTTCTCAACTAAGCCTCTTTTAGTCGAAGATATGAATACCAGGATGGTGTGACCTTTTGTATGGTCGCGGTCTCCTTTCGTTGTATAGAAGTTGTTTGACCTTGTTTTCGCAACTTGGCCATATTTGCAGCAAGATCTTTGGGAACTCACCTTGTCCGGAGTCCATTGTATGCATGATAATCTTCAGAGTCGAATCGTGGACTTGGTACCTTCTCAGACCTATTGACCTACTATTAGTTGGTGTACTGAAATATTCTTGTCGGCTCTGTCTCTGAATCGATCTCTTTCGTTGCCAGTTATATCGTCATATGACGGACATACTCAGAACAGGCTATCATTTTTACACAAGAACTTAGGTACACCAGATTACTTAAGGTGATTAGGATAGCATTTACTTTCATCCGGGCTGGAGTCGACGGCAGATTCAATCTCGTCTCACCATCTCTTCAGCATCTACAGCGGTCCATCCTGAATGAGCTCAGCTTTCAGGAGGTGAGGCCAAGTGAAATTCAATGACATTCTGAGCCATCCTCATTGCATTATGCATAAAAACAAAACTATTAGTTCTTAAATCACCTTCAACGATCTAAGATCACTAAGTTCGCATTCGAGACCTACTGCTGGCCTCAAAAACGAATCATCGAAATGATCACACTTACATGCATATTTAAGCTAACGAGTCAAGAAAACTCAGTCTTGTACCAATATTCAATATATCCACTATAAACCTTTGCACTTTTACGAGGCGTAGAGCGATCTGGTTGGTTTGTCTCATGTGCACGTCTATGCGCGTATGTGCATTTATGAGTTCATGTGTATGTAAAAGAATGAGACCATCAGTGATATCTCCAAGTAAAGGCCAAAAACTGGGCGTAACATATATCCTCTATCTCTGAGGTTTACAGACTTTTTTTAAAGCCATCACTCCGATTTCGCAATATCGGTTAAGGTT